AAACACTTGCAAACCAAAATGAGAGTACTTACTCTTGGTAGGAAGCAATAAATTCGTGCAAAAGTTCTTCCTCATCTTCCTCGCTTGATTCATCCTCGTCATCGGACAAGAGGTAGTCAAGGCCATCATCATCAATGTCATTTTTACCAGTATAGTAATTGAACTGCATGCCCTGAGCTGGGCCCTGGGCTGGGGCCTGAATTGGATTTTCGGGCTGCTCGACCGCCGGCTTGCCAAGCAAGAATTTGATCAATTTTCCTGCGGATTGCAATTATTCTTGTGACGAATTCGAGGGTCAGCCACCAGGGAATAACTTACCAAACACTTCCACCAATTTGTGGCCGAGACCAAAAAAAAATTCCAAATTAACAAAGCGCATCTTGATTCTATGACCTGTCTCTGGCAGAAGTTGTCGGCGAAAAAGAACGCATGGAAAGCGGAAGTCGAGTGTCGGAAAAATTTGACAGATGTGACAGGTCCGAAATGCAGCACTGGGGGTGCGGTATTTAGGGATGGGTGCATTTGTGGGTGCAAATTAATTATAGCCATTTAAAATAGCGATGTTTTGTGCATCTGAAGCTGTGCCTCTGTCTGTGTGTGTGTGTGTGTGTGTGTGTGTGTGTATGTGGCTTAAAAATTGTGAATGTGAATCTGGTCTCACCGCCGCTTCCGCTGGCTAATCAATTACGCCGCAACTTTGAGAAAGAAGAGAGGGGTCGGGTCGGTCGCTCGCTCCTCTTACTCGATAACTTTTACATTTTATTCAAATTTAATTGCAGCCATGCATTAATTTCTTCCCCTGAAATAACCTGATCGCTCTCTGCGCGTCTGTCAAACGTTTGACAAACTTCCACGGGGTTTCCCGCCGCCCCGGACTGACATTGATGTGCCATGCGGATCGACAGGGTCCCATGCCTCAGTCCCATTTGGGAATGTCCATGGAATGGGAATGGGAATGGGGGAATGTCTGTGTCACGTCATTTGCATTTTTAACCCCTTTTCTTTGTCTAATGATGCACACAAGTCGCGACGTCTTTGCCGCCTTGCGGTCGCCTCTCTCCGTCTTCCTGCACAGGCACAGGCACAGGCACACCAAACACTGCCTCTTACCTTCGCCACGGATCTGCTCCAGGGCGTCTGGCAGTTTGCGCCAAAGATTTATGGGTGGCAGCAGCAGCAGCAGCCATTCGGCAAAGGGCCATTTCCATTTTGGGTTGCTTTATACGTGAATTGATCCGTTTGCTGCTGGCTCAAAGATTTTATGTGATATTTTGGTAATTTTCTTCACAATTAAATATGCAAATGCCTCGGCTAGGCGTTTGTTTGTAGGGCGTTTGATATTGTCAAATTGCCCACACAGAGTTCTCTGGCTGGCGTGCATCACCATCAGCTCTCAAGAAAAGGAATTAATCCAACAAATGAGGGAATATATAACTAAGCAAAGCATGTATGTACATACATCCCCAAGCTGGACGCATTAAGTATTCTGCGACACAAGTTGCAGGAGGGCGAGCTGGAACTGAATCGCAAGGCCTTTCCGCGCTATACCTATTCCAAGCTAGTCGCAACTTCATCTCCGCCACTTGCCCACTTCAGGATAAATCAAAGAAAAAATCAAAAATGTGTGTAAATTTATTCTATTCAACATTCAGATTACAAGCAGTAGCATGGTGTCCCGAAATATGTCCACTGATATGGTGTTCCGTCAGTGCAGATTGAGGACATTGAGACTGGTCGCTGCTTTGATCCTGCTACAGCAAGATCACAAAGTAAATAAATATGTAAGAAATATTCAACAAAAACTAAAGCAAAAAGTGTGATGCAGGGCAGGGCATGATGGTCTTGTACCCTTCCGCTGTACATATGCAGAACCATTGAAGATGTGATGCATGACTCTATGGGATGGTTGAGATTATAATTTAGGGGATTTGCTTTAGCCGGAACCTGTGAATTTCGACAACTGAGATTAGCCAGAAGATAATGCTTGTTTTCTGGAGGTGGAGGGGAAACTAGACTAGATCATAAACTAATCTCATTGCATCGCTCTGCTGATCCTGGGACTGGTGGGACTGCTGTTCCAGTTCATCCAAAACGAATGCCGATTTCAATGGTGCATCGTAAGCCACAGTTTGCACTAATTAAGTGTCGAAAGGATTACCAACGCCTACCCACGGAGTTGCTGATTTACGATCTGTCCAGTTCCAGCTCATCCCTCTGCCAGCATCTACCTGTATACTGTACACTGTATCCTGAATCTGTGTATCTTGAGCCTCGGATCCTCATTAGCATGAGCCACCTGAGGTGTGGATCTAATGCGTCCGACTTTGGCTCAGCGCGTGTGCCATTCATTGAGTATTCACTGAGCGGACAATGCAGTCCGTCCGTCCGTCCGCCTTCCATTCATATTCATTCAGAGATCTCGTCCCATTCTGATTTGCTAATCCTTTTCCCTTTCCTTTTTTGGGTTGTATGCGAAACTCATTTGGCTTAGGCCACGGCGATTGCTTTCGTATTGCAGGCGAATCTTGGCGACAATCTTGTCCAAGGCAAAAATCCTTTCATGCCGTAACTGCTGCCGCCTGATCCTGATCCTTGTTCGGGTGCTGCAGCTGCAGCTGAATCGTGTGGGCGCTGCTGCTGCTGCTGCTGCCATGGGTCTTGCATTTGCATCTGGCTTATGGAGGGAGCAAATCTTAAGACGACCTCCATTGTGTGCGGAGCTCCTTTTTGAATAGAGTCCTACGGGGACGACAACAGCTGTCCGACGCTTGCCAGTGATTGTCGTCAATCTTTTTGTCGTCTGCCTTTGCATAACATCCATTATGTCTTTATATGGGTGTATTCAAATGGATGGGCAGCGCAGCCTTCTACTGCGGCTGTCAGCTGTCCGGATGGGTCGGTGTCGGTCCGTACCGCTGGTCACGTGCCCACGTGTGTCCACTCGGGGGCACCGGCACCGGCACCGGCATCGGCACTGGCACTGGCACCAGCACCTCAATTTTGGGCACATCAAACGCGCGACTAACTCCTATAATTGGCCCACTCTCTCCTCCTCCTCCTCCTCCCGTACAGTGGCACCTTATCGTAATTGGATCTGGCCTTTGCTCTGGACTGTGCTCTCTGCACTCGGCACTCGGCTCTGTTATTTTGACTATGTCATGTCACATGTTATTGCAACGGTAGCAGCAGCAGGGAAAGATACTCACGCGTATCGATGTCCCCATGGAAAACATCAATGTCCCGCGCTGGCGGCCCGGCCCTCGCGACCAAAGAAGGCTCTGACTCTGATCGAAGGAAAGTCGAGAGTCGACTCTCGAGTCGAGTCGAGTAGCGAGACCCTTGAGCAATTTATTGCTCAATTTATATTTGCTTAGACTGCCAATAGTTCAATAATTCATAAATGCCTGGAGCCTATCATGTGTCTCCTGGGAATTTGCATAAACGCGATTTGCATAAGGCAGCTGCCGCCTCGTCTCGTCTGGTCTGGTCTGGTCTTGCCAGGGGTAGAGGGCCCCTGACTTGGCTCCTTGGCGCGGCACAAAAGGTGTGAGCGCATGTAATAGAAGTCTTGCCATGACTCTACCTGGACGTCGCTCCCGCTAGTGCCGCTGCTCGGATCTGTTGTTGTTTGTTCCCGTGTTGTTTTGATATGTAAGTTGATATATGATATTTGATTCAGACTTTTGGGTGTCGCGAAGGCCTTCAACTTCAATTATGGCAAATGGCAAGCACAAAAGCTAGTTATGGGTTGGTTTTCGGTTTCCTGCTGGAGCAGCGTAGCTCTTGCTTGCCTCTCTCTGGGTGAGGTTTTCCTTTCCTTGCCTTTTCCTTTTCTTTTTGTGTTTTTTCCTTTTTTTCTTTTTTTTTTTGCATAGTCACAGCTGCTACCTTTATGCAAAATACGAGTAGGAGTTGCAGTTGCAGTTGCAGTTGGAGTGGGTCAGGACTTTAAGTCAGGGTCGAGGCCTGTCTGTGGCTCCATATGGCAGTGCATCGCGGTGCAGTCTAGCATAACGCACGCTACCTGTACTGGCTCTGGCTCTCCTCTGCCTCTCCACAGTGCCGCAAGTTGCACAGACAGTCGCGACAGGAGAGGGTTCAAGTTCAACCTTTGCCCTGAAGTGCGTTTGTAAATTTGTTTGCCAAATCAATTCAGATGGAGAGAGAGAGAGCGCGCGTAAAATATCCATGGAATTGGCATTGTGTCACCCTCCCTTCAATCTGTCTGGTGACAGGCCAGGCAGGACGACTGTCACCCTTTTCTCTCAAGGCGTTTGGGCTGCATTCTGCATTCTGCACTCAGCATTTTCCCGATTTCCCGATGCCGATCTTCTTTATTAGTGCAATGCGGAAAATTGCAAATGATTCAATTTTAATCCGCTCTGAACTCTTTGGCGTCATTTAAATTTCTGCGCACTTCAAGTGCGAGGACACTTTATCTCACGGGTCGGGTCGGGTCGGGTCGCTTGTTCCCCCCCTCCCTACCCATCACTCAGGGGTTTAAAGGGTTTCCGCGCCGAGATTCTCAATGATTTTGTCACATCCCGACGCCGTTGTGCTGTGCTGTGCTGTGCTGTCAAGTGAGCCGCACTTAATGAAGTAGGAAAGGATCGCAGTGCTTCCTTCGGCTCCTTAGATTGCAACAAAGATCGCACATAGTTTCGCACAACACTCCACTCCGCTCCTCTTCCCGCCGGGAGTCTGATCTGCAGTCTGGCAATTGTTATAATAATATTTTCAATGACATGACAGTACTCCTGGTCGTGGCCCATAGATTTGCATTAATGATATGCGGCCCGGTCCGGCCCGGCCCGGCACAATGATGATGTGCAACATTTGTTAGATTGCTCTCCTTCCCAGGGCAAGGGTTGTCCCTGTCTCTGGCCCTGTCCCTGGCCCGTTCTCTGGGTGACTGCATCTTGATGGGTTTTTTTCTTATTTTATTTTTGTATTTTTTTTGTTTAGTTGAAGTCCTCTTGCGAGGTGTTGGGTTGCCTCACCCAAGGAATATTGGCAATTATGCCAGTCGGTTGGTGTCGCTCAGATGATGCATGAGCATATTATGCAGAGCGTATGCAGATCGGACGAGGCAGTCTAATCCAGATCTAGCAGCACACAAGATTGATTGTGTCGACGGGGCCTGTGACTAGGCTGGGCTAGGCGCATCCGCATCCTCATCCTCATCCGTTTCGATGCTCCTTTCTGTGACCTTCTTTGCTTGCCACACTCTTTGGGTTTCCGTTTCAGAGATCTGCAAACATTTTGATAGATTGATTATTTCTATGGGTCTTTGATTATGCGCAGAGGTTCGTCATGGAATACTTGATACTTAATTGTTTATATTTAAATGAAGCAGCACGAAGGCTGACGATCCTTGGCCTGTGATCATCTTGTTGGTTTGGTATATTTGATAGATTGTTTCTTTCTGTGTGTGCCACTAATGATGCTTCGCCTGCGGATCATCTTGCAAGGAATCTAAATAAAATATATACCATTTGATTTGTTTTATCTGGTGCTTGCTATATTTTTACCTTTGCTTGCTGCTGGTCTAGATTTTCAGCTGTGAACGCATTTTAAGTGACTTGCGTGACCTTTGCACCTGCTGCTGGTCGAGTGTGCCTGGCTGGCAAGTAATAATAATGGCTTGAGCATAATTGGACCGAAAATAAAAGCAGCCGCAGCGGCAGCGGCAGTGGCAGTGGCAGCAGTAGAACCTACAGGCCAATGCCCCGGCCAACAGGTGAGTTTTCGGCCGCTGGCGAGGGATACGGCTTGTTAGAGCCTCGCCAGAAGTTGTTTCTTTTTCTTTTTGGGCCAGCCAGCGCCTACGCCTCAAATGTTTAGCGCCTTCTACTGCAACTCCCTTCTCTCCCTCTCTGTCTAATGGATATTGGAGACATGGCAGCCGATCATCATCGAGTGCCTTTGGGGAGGAGTGCCCGCAGATCGTGTGCATGTGGCAGCAGCCAGCCTAACTGTTAAATGTCCTTTGTCCTGCCATTTCTGCGTGTGTGCTGGTGTGCTGTTGTGTGTGTGTGTGTATTCTGTTTTTGCACATGTTGACACGTTCGCAGGAGACAGGAGACAGGCGACTTCCTGACAGGACATGCAGGAACGAGCCAAATGAACTGCCTGCCGCCCGCCCTCACGTGCCACCACCACACTCCCCGCCCAGTCGCCCGACCGCCCGGGCACAGTCAGTCAGTCAGTCCATTGTTTGGGCTGTTTTCGCAACTGTTTCGATCGATTTGCCGCGCGATAAGCCCCGGCACTGGGACCGGATCGGGGCACGCGCTGCAGGGCCAGCAGCGGACACTGAAAGCGGGCAACAAAGTGCGGGTCGAAAGGTGCGTCAAGCGATGTCGTTGTCGTTGCCAATCGACGCCGGTAGCCGATCGAGTGGCTACATTCACTATATGTCCCAATGCCGAATGCCGAGTCGTCGACTTTTGTCACTGTCCAAATTTAAGCGGGTTCCGTGCCTCACCAGCCAGCGAGAGATATCTCTGTGTGTGTCTCTCTCTCCCTGTGTTCTGCTTTTCAATTTTCGCCACTCGAGAAACGTTTAAATCGCAATTAGAGTTTTGAAGTGTGCCGGTGCCCTCTTTTAATGGGCGATTTTTCACAATTTTCCCCATTTCCATCGAACAAAAGTGTGCCCTCAAATGGGTTTCGAATTGAGAGGCAGATATCCGGCCGATCGTCCGATTTCTGGCACTCTATTAACTTGTCTACAATGGCAAAATGACACTCTGGCAGGCTGGCAGGGGGGGGGCCCAACAATTCAATTAAATTATGGATAGAAATACACACACACACACACACACACACTGGAAGGAGAAACAAAACTAAGTTTAAATGGATGCCTGGAATTTTGATGTAGCCCTGGAAGCTTATCGATTGTTTTATTTGCATTTTGGCGCTGATTCTTAACGGAACTGCCAGATCTAAGCGAAAGCCGAATGGGGTGGGGAGAAGCAGACAAAAATGAACACCAAAAGTAGTGCTAAAGATGAGCTTAAAATGTGCGCGAATGATGGATAAAACCCAAGAAAAGCAAATGTAGAAAAAAACCTAAATGGAGTAGAGGATTGAGTATGGACCGAGACTCATCGAATGAGCCAGAAGAGCGCGGCAAATGATGGATAAATCAAAAGAGAATGAACACAAAAATAAGTACAAAGCGAATAAAAGAGGAGAATCAACAACAAACTAAATAAGTACAAAGCGAATAAAAGAGGAGAATCAACAACAAACTAAAGTTTCGAGTACAAAATGGTTAAACAAATGTCGCAAAAATATCAATAGCAGCAGACAGACGCAAACTAATGATCAGATTACAACCAAAATAGAGGACTAAATGTGATTACGAGTTCTGTTGAATGAAATCCGTAGCCTTAGAACAGAGGCCGTAATAACTGCCCCGTGAGTATTAGCTGAAAAGCAAACGATATGTGAATAAATACAAGTGGCATGTGAACTCTTTTAGTCACCACAGTGCGTCTGATACTTCTGGGAAGCGCGTGTTTTCGGGAGTCTTCCTATCCACTGGACAATCGGTTATGGCACTGTGACTCTTCTAACTCTCGGGGACGGGACTCATTACGCTGCAACCATCCGGAACAGGAGGAGGCACAACAACACAGAGCAAAAGGTACAAACATTGCGTAAGTATCCGTTTCACTTTCAATCAAAACGAAATTAAAGAAATGCCTGTTAAATGACACGGGAAGTCCAGAACGGGAATACATACTATTCACGGCAATGGGAATGGGAAAGCAAAAGAAAAGCAAAGGCCATCATTAGCCGGACGCGCCAGAAAATCCAGAACCAGATAATAGTAATGGGCAACAACCCATAAAAAAAGTAAGAAGTGAAATAATAAAAAACGCAGCGTCAACAATGACAACTACAATGACGACGTTAACCTCTTGGCGATTTGTTCCTGGTCAGAGAAATGTCAGGAGAAAGTTCAAATAGATAAGGACAAGGGTGTGACAGGACCTGTGCGCTGCTTTTGTTGTTGCGCCATGATTTCGGGTGGTCTGCTTGACCGCTGGTCTGCCCTCCGAAGAAAGTTCCGCATGGACCCTGTCGATCCAGCGCCCATTCATATCACATAATAAAGTATTTTACTTTTGTTTTTCCTGTCATATCACACAATGAGACGGACATGTGTCGGGCTGGGTCGGTCAGCTACGCGTAGATCCGCGCTGAACTCGTCCGAGCATGCATTTTCTGATACGTACGAGTACGAGTACGAGTAGTAGATGCTACGACGGAGCCTACATACGAGTATGTAGAGTTGTACTTGCGGACGGGACCAATGAAAGGTTCACGCTCTACTGAGCATTGCCATGGGAAGAAGGTTGTCCTGGTATGTCTCGTCTGGGTTTTGGGGGTCTGTGAAAAGTGTTAACGGTTTGGCTTAACCCATTTCTAGCCGATGTTGAGAGACGATGAGACGGTGAGAATTTACATAGATCAAGGGTTGTACAAAATGTTATGACAGCTCATTTAACGCCCTAGAGTCTAAAGTGGCATTGACCATCGATACAACCGACAATCCTCCAGACATAGACAACTGGAACAACTCATTATCATAATTGGCTGCTTCACTTTACCCTGTGCAGCTGTGGGAAGCTTCTCCTATGTAGTTCCAGTGCTCTGCGGGTGCTCAATCGATCTTTAAGGGCTTCTTAAGTTCTACTTTTGGTTGATAATCCTAATCGTTCGAGTTGTGCAGCCAATTAAACAAAACTTGTGCTTAGAATTGTCTCTTTGTCACTAATGAGGCTGCTCTTGAAAATACTTCTAGTGGAAGAGTTCTGGTGCCCATCTAGGCAATGAGAAATTGAGATTAATGTGTGGCCCAAGGGGATTTCTGAAGGTTCTGGATCTCACCTTAGTTGCTTGCATACTCTCGTGGATATATTGTTGGTGATTTTTCTACAGGCAAAACTTAAACTATGAAATAATATTTTGGCTGTTATTGGAAGATCTTCCTTTCTTCTTGATTGCCTCTCTCTCTCTAATGTTTTACCTCGTTTCCGAGTAATCGTTATGGCATCTTTCCCTTAACCCGAACCCACAAAATGTTTAGTGACAAATGCGGCCCACCCCTTGCCCTCATTATAGCCAGAAGTTCCCAAACCGAACCGAACCGAACCGAGCCGAGCCGAACCATTGCTTGGACCCACATGATGACTTGGACTCTGGCTATTGCCAGAGTCGTGATCGTGATCGTGATCGTGCTCGTAAGCCCAGATGGGCCAGGTCTCGCTATCAGAGCATTAAAACGCTCATTAAACCAGGAGCCTGTAGCTGTGGGAAGCACTTGGTGGGGGACTGGACTGGACTTGCCCTCTGCCCTCTGCCCGGCTGTTACTCTTCCGTGCACTTTCCGCAGAGCACTCGTGCGCCACGCTCCGTTGCCCCCGCCACCGGTCGAGTGAGGTGTTTTGCATAAACTGCTGGCTCCTCTTGTGGCTTCTTCAACCAAATTATGGCACCCCAAACCCGACCATGTGGGAACTTCTCTTCCCTTTTCCACCTTCATTCCGTCATTCGGTTCTTCAGAAAACATTGCGCTTGCATACAAAAATGATTTATTCCTTATAATAATTATACGACAAAAAAAATGTTTTACGGCTATAAAAAAAAAGTTATCAAAAAATAGTTGGAATGTCCCAGAAGAAGACCCTCAGCTGGCCTCCGACATGGAGAAGCTGAGGCGCCTCTTGGTGGCGTCCCTGACCTGCGCCTGCGCCTGCAGCCACATGGCATCCAGCTGGCACGAGGCCTCCAGCTCCTCGCCGCCCAATCCCAGTCCCATTGCCAGAATGGGAATGGAATGCTCCTCGTCCAGCTCGCAGTCGCTGGTCGAGTTGTGGCCGCTGTCGGGGCTGATGTGGCGGATCTTCTGGCCGGAGCGAGCCGCAGCCATGAGTTTCTGGGCCGACTGCCGAACGCTGGAGGAGATTCTGGTGGCGATCTTCCGCTTGCGCCGCACCACGCGCTGCCTCCGCAGCTGCAGTGATCGCCTCTTCCCCTGGGACTGGCTCTCGACGGTAGCTGGCAGCTCCGCCGCCGGCTGGGGCGAGCGCACCTCCCGCTCCTCGTAGCCACTCGCGTGGGGTGACTTCCAGTACTCGCAGAGGTCGCTGGCTGGGTCGAAGGCGGGTCGGTAGGTGGGCGAGTGGGTGGCGGCGTCGGCGGATGCGGTGCTGCTCAGGGGGTGGTGTCTGTGTCGCTGGCGCAGACGTCGCTGCTGCCTGGTGGCCGGCGCCTTGCGGGTGCTCTCCAGAATGGCATCGATCATCCGCTCCAGGGTCACGTCTCCCATCTGGGTGGAGCTGAGCGTTGTCTGGCCGCTCTTCATGGCAGAGGCTTGGGGCAGAGGCAGGGGCAGTGGCAGTGGCAGGGGCTTCTGCTCCAGGTAGCGCGGCTTCTCGAAGTAGCTGTCGGGGATGCCCATGCCGCGGAGTGCGAGCAGGGGACCCGGGATGATGGCCGCACTCGGGGAGTACTCCGCCTCGAAGGTCGGCAGCGTGGAGGCGTAGGCGGAGGGTGCTGCTGCTGCTGCCGCTGCGGGTGGGCGGAGTGTGGGCGTGGGTGTAGTCAGGGGCGAGGACATGATGTTGCTGAGGTCCTTGAGCAGCGGTGTCCGTGGTTGCATGGACAGGGAGCTGGCGGGCAGTGGCGTCGAGGTCAGCTGGTTCTCCTTCCCCTGTCCGTGGGCGAGGGCCAGGCAGAGGGACTTCCGCTTGAGCTTTCCCCGCAGCGCATGGAACTCGCTGTAGCTGCTTGCCTCTGCTCCCGCTACCACTCCCACTTCCACTTCCACTCCTGCTGCAGTTCCAGTTCGAGTTCCCCTGCCCATTGGCGTGGCTGTGGTCTCCTCCATGTACGAGGGTCGCGGCTGGTTGACGGCCCACTTGAGCATCTTATTCTGGTCTCTGGTCTCTGGTCTCTGGCCGTGGCTGCTGCTCCTTGGTGTGGGTGAGGTTGCGGGTGCTGCAAGTGTGGGAGAGAGAGAAAAGAATGCGTGGCTTAGTTTCGAGTTGTATCTGTGTATAGACATGCATTTATTTGTGTCTGTGTCTGTGTGTGGCTATGTGTATCTTCTGGTTCTGTTTGTTCTGTCTGGATTCCAGAGCTGTTTGGCTTTCGCCGCAAAAAGTTGCCGGGTGAGTTTTTCGGGAGTTTTGGCGCGCTTTCTGGTGGCCTTTTCGATTCCCAAATCAGCGAAGCGGCAAAAATTAAATCAAAAAATAAAATTCCAGGCAATCAGCCTCCCCCCGGGCAGTCGCCGACGTACCCCTTTTGGCATTCGGCCCCGAACTGGACACGGCCTTCCACTTGAACATTAAAATTCGAATATCCCTAATTACAAGTCCATGCATCGTTGGACTTGGAGAAAGGCTCTTGCAGGAAATGCCCTCTTGATTTCACTTCAATTTACCTTTTCACAGATTTTGCTTCACTCGAAAAAAAAGCACAGATTGCACAGATTTATTGGGTGTATTCTATATTTGCAGATGGATATTCCAGGCTTTCCTTTGGACGCGGCGCGAGAGAGTGTACGAGTAGTGCGCATGCGTGTCTGCTCGTCGCGAAGTTCGTTTCGAGAATGGCTCTCTTCGGGTACGTCCACGACTTAACTACCGGCGCGCCGGCGCTGAGCAGAACCGAGAGAGAACACACAGAGAGAGAGAGAGAGAGAGGGAGAACATAGAGAGAGCACAGAACGTGTTGCATGTTCTCAGAGCGGGAGAGAGACAGAGAGATGCACTCTGCAACAGTTTCAAGCTCTATTTAAATCGGAAAAGTGGGTGGAATGTCGCCTTGAACGGCAATGGCACCTAAGTTATGGAATGCAATTTATACCTTTGCGTACATATATGTATGTACATATGTATGTATGTACTGTATCTATTATATCACTGCAGAGATCGATGAGGATTAAGCGGATATGTTGGCAGCTAATGCCGTGCTCCTTGTCAAGGGCCTTTTTCAGTATATTCCTTCCAAAACTTTGGCAGTCGAGTTGGTGGTAGCCATGTCTGTCTATAAATCTTGTAAATTCTCTTATCTCGTATCTCTTATGGGATCTTCTTTAAGGCTAACTAACTGAATTAGCTCCTTTAGTTGTAGAGCTGTTCGACGGAAATCTTTAACAGATTTCTATTTTTACTGGATGCAGTATTCGTAAGAGTTGGTATATGTAAGATTCGATTTTTATATCATTGTATGGCTGCCACAGAAAGAAGCGTTTTCTATTTAATTCTGCAGTGAGTTTAATTATTAAAATTAAAATAAGATGAAATTTGTATCCAAGTATCATTTAGCTTCCTTAGTAAATATCGATCGAATACCTTTTTTTTTTTTAAAGGTATTCAATCACTAAAATTTCTTAATGATTTTTTCCTCATTGTTTTTTATACTTTAAATGCTAAATTTAAATCAAATGCGTATAAGCTGTAAAGGAACTTATTAAACCTCATCCACATAGAAATTGATTACAATTATTGTGATATCATCGCCACATAAAAGTCAGATATGTCTGGTTATAATAAGGCCTTTCCAGCCTGATAAAATCTGATCAAAATCGGCTGACTATATCATAATGGGATAATGGCTTTGCAGGAGTTTTCGAACAGGAACTGCTAGAACCTTCGCTCTAGTCCGTCCGATACCAATTCTATATGGATAATATCCTACTTTCGGGTTCCAACAGCTGTGCGAATCCTTCGTTGATCGTTTGATTGAAAGAGAGAGTGAGGGAGATGGCATGCATAACGGTGCTCCTCTGTCGAGGGGCCAGCTGTTCTCTTTGCCGCTCTGCTCTGCTCTGTTCGGCGCTGCTTACGCCACAAAACATAATTTTCAATTACCTTTCTCTCAGCGTGTGGCTCCTTTCACCTCTCCTCCTTCTCCATCACCCTCTCCCTCTCCTGCCTCTGTCTGCTTGTCTCTGTTTTCCCATTTTCGCCAAGAAAAGGACAACTCGCACACATAGCAGCTACAGTGGGAACCGGGGGATTGTACAATTTGGCCCATTGTTTATGGGACAAGCAGAGGAGTCGGCGTCGTCGTCGTCGTCGTCGTCGTCGTCGTCGCTGCAGGAAAATGTTGTGGAAAATTGTGCAATTGTTTTGCAATTTATTGGTTGAAAAGGGGCTTCGTGGCTCAGGAGAGATTCGCTTCCACAACAGCCTCTTTCACTGTCCCATACCCTTCCATATTCCTCTCTCCTGCTGGCCATCTCCTCTTCCGCTTTGTTCTTCCATCTCCTTCCGCCTTCTGTGTTTCCAGCTTCTTCCGCTTTCTTTGCCCATCTCCTTTCGCCGTTAAGCGCAGATTTATGATACCTTCTGGATACCCTCTAGATAGGGTATATCTTTACGTATATATGTATATATATCTATATTTCTGATCCTGCTGACCGAAGACCGAAATTAGAATCAAAATATAATTCCTAAGAGAAAAAAATCTTTTTTTTTCTGCAGATATTTAAGAAGAATATCGTATAGCTGCCATCGATCAATTAAGAAGGGTATCTAAAGCTTCGACACCCGACACTCATCGTGTGCCCTGTCCATTGAGCAGAGAATCTCAGCAGTGGCAGCAGAGAGACAAACTGAGAGTCAGAGAGCGAGAGTAGACAGACAGAGATGGCCACAAGGCGAGACACTCAGCGAGAGACAGCCAGAGGGAAGGGGAGAGAGGACACCACCAGAGACCAAAGACCATCCATGCCATAGAAAAAGGAGACACCACTAGCGACAGCTGTGTCCCTCGAGATCCGTCAATTATCCCCTCCCCTTCATCTACTAATATCTCTGTGCTTTGTTTTGCCTAATTTATTTGGCACTTTGTGCGAAATGGCATTCTACCATTTGTATTACCGTTCAATGGCAAATTGGATCACTTTCCAATGTCCGGATCGGGTCAGGTCCTGGAACAGATCTCACTTGCGATCTTACAAGAGCAGTTCCGGACCACCGAATGGGTAATAATAATTTATGGCACCTGTAGGAACAATTAAAAACAATTGCAAAGTGTCCTTCAATTGATAAGAGTCTATTAGGCAATGGTACGACCACCCTCATTTGGTTCCCAGGGGAATTATCTTAAGAGAAAAACTCATTTCATTCATTCATTGGGGAAAGATTGATTTTTGAAATATTAAAACGAAGTCAAGGCACGCTTTGAATGAAAATTCCATCTCGTTAATCCTCAGATTTAAACGATTTTTAAGAGCAATTTCTGGAAATTTCTGGAATATATTTCATTGTGGGTTTTTCTTACGACTACTTCCTTTCACCTTGTAGAATCTGGATTTTATTTAAATGTGTTTATAATTTATTAAACCGGCTGGGAAACACTTTTTAAAGTTTAGCAATATTTTTAAAAGAGATAATGTAAATGTAATAATTTATTCTATATCTTTAGGTAGTCAACAATTTGCCTAATTCACTTTCAGCCATCTGTTCTTGGCCCTGAAATGTGGATCAATGATGTACATTTCTGGGTCGTTCTCACAGCATTAATTTAAATAATAAATCTCAAACCTTCGTTTCGCAAATTTGACATTCGAGAGGCTTTCCCGGACCTCAATTTGCTCTTCCATTCAGAAATACAAAAACAAAAACAAAAAAAAAACGATTCAGCTGCCCAGAAATGTCGAGTGACCAACAATAAATCTACGGAAAAAGCGAAGAAAATAGAAATAAATCAATAATATTGCAGCGGAGTGCACTTCGGGATGGCCAGCTGCATTTTTTCTTTGGCTTCTGCCCTCCTTCGAAATCTTACCAATAATCCGTCTATCTGTCTTTCAGTTCCATCGAATCAAAGGCAATTTTACGCATTGGTCACTGGCCCAGGCTCAGGCTGAGGCTCAGGTCCTGAGACCATGGGAGGAGGCGACATTGAGGCATTGATGGTGAGGAGAACAAGGAAGATAAATTAGGGCAGAGCCCGAGCCCCGACCCAGGGATAGGATACATGCATAGGGTAGGAGGAGGAAGGGCCAGACAGTGCGTCGCGATCCACTAATAAATTGCCCAACAATTGTGCAATTTTTCATAGACATACGAATCCGCACGGCGGTCTCAGGCGACCCTGACGCTAAGACTTCACGCTCGGATTTGCTACCGTTTTCGATTTTTCGCTGTCCTTTTTCCAATCACTATTATTTTTTCTTACTCTTGGTATTATTTCTGTGGCTCTGCCTCTTAGAGTGGGATTCGCTTTCCCAATTCCCCTCCTCCCCCCCCCTTCCACAAAACATACACTGGAGGGTCGTGCGGCGGCAGCAAGGACATCAGATAAAGTGGAAAGTAGGTAAGGGACGGAAGAAAACTAATCTTGAATCACACGCCGCACTGATAGCGCCAGGATCGAGAATCGGGGATCGGGAATCGGGAATCGGGGACCCACAATCCACAATCCTTGGCTGGACAGCTGTTCGGGGATTAGCACACAGCTCCTTCTACCGCTCCTATCTGGACTCGCACGCAAAATTATTAAAACACGGCCCTGAATTATGGGCCATAATTTAGAATTTGAACGGGACCCCCCCGTCCGCCGCATAGCCTGCGAGTGGGTATAGCCAGAAACCTATTTGTACTGCTGCCTTTCTGGCATTTCCGACTCCCGGCGTCTTATTTGATAAGGCTGCCAAAAGGGAGAGAGAGAGAGAGCAAGGAGAAAGCCGAGACCAGATGCAGCCACAGGATCCTGTGACTGTAGGCGCTCGCCTTTCATAATTTTATATTTTTGGCTTTGATTGATTTGGGTAGCCCGTTGCTCGATCCGATGTGAAGAGCTGGCATTTATTGAACTATGATGTGCCATGTGCTATGAAGCCTCAGGCCAAGAGATGAAATCCAAGGATGAAATCGAAACTTAAAGAATGCGAATCTCAGGGAGACCCTCTCCCTTTCTAATGGAGGGGCACACATTTGATATGATTGGACAGACGGAAGGATATGCAATTTGGGATATGTAATCGAACGGGTAACATCTTGGGGTATTTCGTTTTATTAAATTTGAGCTTTTTGCTTGTATTTCTCCATCCTTCTCTGGAAATTTAGGCTAATACGAATGAAAACCAAACGTAATATATTATGAAATTGCTTGGATTTTTGGTGAGTATTTTTATCTATTTTGAAAACTTTAAACTACAATTTCTACATTTGCAGTTCAACGCTCAAAGCTCAAAGGAAATGTTATATAATATATTTGTATTGAAAACACGATGGCAATTTTATTAATGGAATACCCAAATTTGGATCACGAAACAATTGGGTTAATATTTTTAGCCTTTCATAAAAATATATTTAATTTCTTCCTTCATTGAACCTATAGAATCCGTCTTGGCATACCCTGCACACATGGCATCCCTATCAAATTCAAAATTATTTAAGCCAATTTTTCACAAAATACTGTCATCTAATGATTCTCTCACAAGACGATCAATATTCGGAAAATGTATATCAATTACAATATATCCAAATGGCAAATGAAAATCCCCTGACAGCCATTAATATGCTGATGGCCCATTTGTCAGGCCATATTCGATTGAAATCCGAACTTAAATTTAAATATTAATAATAAAAAATCGGTGCAAAAGGGTTTCCCAGTCGCATCCAAGGGAATGCGCCAGAGAGTGCACAGGAATGCGAGGAATCGAGTCTCACGTCCGAGAGCAGCAAGCTAGAGCCAAAGGTGGTGGTGGTGGCTGAGAGAGAGAGCGTCGTGCTCCGATGTCAGCCGAAGCAGAGAGAGAGACCAATTTCGTAGAGATGTCGAGGTGACCACGCAATGTGGCGTGCAAAGGGAGAATCAGTCACATTTGCGCCTTCGCCCCCGACAGGACGCACCCGGTACCCGTCCCGTCACCGTCTTCGAGCGCGATCGAGCACAAAATTCAAGATTCTTTGCTGTTTATGTTGTTGGTTTTATTTATTTTTTTTTTAATTCGCACAACACAAACTCAAAGCGAAAGTTATATAATTCATTTTTTTTTGACTGTGAAAAACCAAGGAAATTTTCGGCATTTTTGGATATCAGATATAGGAGTTATACAAACGACCAGAAAAAGGTAAAGATAGAGTGAAGTGAAAGAGAAATGGAGTGGAAATACGAGTGCTCGTACTCGTGCTCATACTCGTACTCCCATTTCCGGAAGAACATTAAAAATGCATTAAAGCAGGGGAGTGGTGGGCCTCTGCGTCTGTGAGAAAATTAATTAAAAACACCCCATAAAAATCGCATAAAAATTCATAAATTTGCGCGCGTGCGATTGCGATTTGGGGTACGGAATCGGGTTTTTATTTTTATGTTTTTTGGCTATTTGTGGGTTACCCGGGCCAAGTGCCCGAGTGGCCGATAAGTGCTCTTCAGACCAAAACGAGAGAGCGGCTGCAAAAAGCGCAAAATGCTAGCACACATCGGAGTCCTCCTCCTCCTCCTCCTTCTCCTGCTCCTCGTTCGGTTTCTTCTTCTCTGCTCTCTTCTCTCGTCCGCTGCGATCTCCGCATCTCCGAGAAGGGTCTTGAGTGGCCCGCCCGAGATGGGCAGAGTGTGGCAGTGCCACCATTTTGGCCGCTCCTACCACCCAAAACACGAGTCGCAGCTGGAAGTAGCTGTAGCTGTTGCTGTTGCTGTTGCCCTAGCCATTCCATAGCCATGCAGAGAACCCGATGCCAGAGCCCAAAGCCCAAAGCCCAGAGCCCAGAGCCTAGTCGCAAGCTTTTGCGCGCTTTTCCATTGTTTCCAAGGTCCTCATTGTTCGCAGAGGAATCAGGCAGGAATCAGGGGCAGCCGGCAGCGACGCTGTGCGAAATCCTTGCTGAAATCCTTGCCGAAACCCCACCGAACACGTTAGTCGGGTTTGCCCGTGTCAGATGTCTCAGTCGGGTTTTGCACACTCTGCCCTAAATATGAAGGAACCCCAGCAGACAATTGCTAACTAGCCCGATCTTCTTTTGCTACTTTCAGATCCACATCCACACACACACACACACACACACCCGATCTACGACTTATATCGAGAGATATCGCAGCTGTCAAGATGCTCAAGTGGGCTGTGAACCAGCCCCGACCCTCGTATCTGGCCAAGGAGCTGCCAGGGGGAGCCGCCACCAACCCCATGGCATCAGCAGCAGCAGCAGCAACGGGAGCAGGATGTGCAGCAGGATCAGGATCAGGGGCAAGCAGCTACAGCGAATTCCATGCGCTGCGGGGAAAGCTCAAGCGCAAGTCCCTCTGCCTGGCCCTCGCCCACGGACAGGGGAAGGAGAACCAGCTGACCTCGACGCCACTGCCCGCCAGCTCCCTGTCCATGCAACCACGGACACCGCTGCTCAAGGACCTCAGCAACATCATGTCCTCGCCCCTGACTACACCCACGCCCACACTCCGCCCACCCGCAGCGGCAGCAGCAGCAGCACCCTCCGCCTACGCCTCCACGCTGCCGACCTTCGAGGCGGAGTACTCCCCGAGTGCGGCCATCATCCCGGGTCCCCTGCTCGCACTCCGCGGCATGGGCATCCCCGACAGCTACTTCGAGAAGCCGCGCTACCTGGAGCAGAAGCCCCTGCCACTGCCCCTGCCTCTGCCCCAAGCCTCTGCCATGAAGAGCGGCCAGACAACGCTCAGCTCCACCCAGATGGGAGACGTGACCCTGGAGCGGATGATCGATGCCATTCTGGAGAGCACCCGCAAGGCGCCGGCCCCCAGGCAGCAGCGTCAACGTCAACGTCTGCGCCAGCGACACAGACACCACCCCCTGAGCAGCACCACCTCCGCTGACGCCGCCACCCACTCGCCCACCTACCGACCCGCCTTCGACCCAGCCAGCGACCTCTGCGAGTACTGGAAGTCACCCCACGCGAGTGGCTACGAGGAGCGGGAGGTGCGCTCGCCCCAGCCGGCGGCGGAGCTGCCAGCTACCGTCGAGAGCCAGTCCCAGGGGAAGAGGCGATCACTGCAGCTGCGGAGGCAGCGCGTGGTGCGGCGCAAGCGGAAGATCGCCACCAGAATCTCCTCCAGCGTACGCCAGTCGGCCCAGAAACTCCTGGCTGCGGCTCGCTCCGGCCAGAAGATCCGCCACATCAGCCCCGACAGCGGCCACAACTCGACCAGCGATTGCGACTTTGAGGAGGAAGTGGACTCGCTGTCATCGCTGGGCGCCTGTGGGGGCCTGGGGCTGGGACTGGGACTGGGACTGGATGCAGCAACCAAGCGGCGGCTGAGCTTCTCCTTCCAGGAGGATCTGTTCGTGGAGAAGTGAGAGAATGCGACTCGGACGAGAATCATCTTTGGCTGTCGACAAATTTATTTTTCTTCCACTTTTTTCGTTACATTTTGAAGTTGAAGGAACATTTTTTGTTTAAAAATTAGCAGAATGTGGCTAAAAGCGCAGACTTGCCTTGGTATCCATATCCATATACATATATCCCGAAGATAATGATGTGTTGAAACTGATTTTATAATTGATTAAGATTTTTTTTTGGAAATAAAACATTAGAGCAAAAAACATCTAAAATAAAATGGTATTTATGCTGGGCAGAGTATCGTAGAGCCACAACTGAAAGAAGAGTACTGTGAAGCTGATCATCCGGAAAGAGGACTCTGATATCCGCTGAAGATTTAAATGCAAGTCGAGGTCCTTCTGGCTGGAGATACATTAAGATCAAATATGCTTTTGTTGGTAATCTACCACAATCATATTACCTTATTGTTTCAGGTAATATAATCCCTGCAGAAACATTTGAAAAGCCTTTTTGTATTCCCATAGATGACATCGAATCGTTCGCTTTTAATTAAACAAATCTGCAACGCTCCCTCAAGGGGGTCGCTCTCTGGAGCTAGAATTACACTGGATTCAACTGAACTGCACTCCCGAGACTATTTTGTAATCAATTTCTCCCCATTTGAGTGCAGTTCTCACGGGAGCCAGCGGCCGTTCGTTCCGCCTTTGAGTTCGTGAGTATGTGGATCGGACATTGCCGATTAGTCGAACGCTGCTGGACGGTAAGGCACACACACACCATGTGGGCTGGGAGTGGGAGTGGGAGACCACATACCACCCCCTCGGTATTGGGCGACTTGAGTGATACGGCATATCCTGTATGTCCTTCGACATGGCACTTATCACGCACCTGTGCACCACCAAATGGCCAGGGAACAGACTACAAAACGGTTTGGCATTATCATAAATTTGCATAGAATACGAGTATACAACAAAATTTGGTTTCGCTGCTGGTTTTTTGTCGTGTTTCCGTGTTTCCGTGTTTTTTTTTTTCTGTTCTGTTTTGTTTGGTTTTGTTTTGTGGCTAGGACGGGATTCGGCAAGGTCCTTGTTAACTGTACTTGAGAGAGCTCAGTGCGATCCAACCGGCCGTGACTAAGTTATGCAAGTTCTGGAGCAGGCATATGGGCAAAGTTGTGTACGCTATGATCCTGTCCTGCCAGGGTCCAGCAGCGGCAGCAGCTGCCAAGGACTGGCTGGCGTGGGCTGTTGCTGCTCTCGAGGCTCTGTTGCGTTTTTAAATGTCTATTAAATGCCTTTAAGTAAATGCCTCTGAATGGTATGGCTATGGGGCATTGTCTGACGCCGCCGCCTCGAGTCGGATCGTATCCCATCCCATCCCATCCCATCCATTGTTGCACGGCTTCTGTGCGCTCAATTGAGCCGGTCCCGCTCCTGCTCCTGCGACCATGCCAGCTGCCCAAGAGGTGGATGTGAGGATAGCCCTGTTCTGCTCTGATTTGAGACTCTTTGCTCTTTGCTCTTCGCTTTGCTAAATGTCACATAAGAGGCCGAACCGAACCGAACCAAGTCGAACCGAACGTTGCGTCGGCGGTAGCCGGAACACCTTTCCGAAAATTGCGCCAAAAAGGGACTGCAAGAAGTCAATGGAAGAATGAGAAATAATGGGAATGGAGAATGGGGAATTCCATGGCAGCGGGCCAAAGGAAACAAAATCGCATCGTGGCATGCGTCGTACGAGGGCGGTGGCAGCCCTCGGGGACAGCTGTCGTCGTCTCCTGTCCTGTCCTGTGGCACGTGATACACTCATTCCGCCAACGGCAACTCCAACGCATCGAGGATCGTCTTGAGTATTTGGCATTGGAGTGGGAGTCAGTGTTTAGTGGCACGATAAGTTGTTTTGCTTCAAGTGCCTGTTGCCACATGTTGCCGCTTCAAATTGGGGCAATTGTCTGCCTAATAGGGTTAAGTGCCGGAAATTGCTCCGAATGCTTAAGAAAATTTGCGAGTGCCTCTATTTGGCAGTCTTTATGTAAGGGCAGGAATTTCTGAAAGTCTAAATCTATATCTATATCTGCCAGAAGATAAAAAGCTCCGCGCACCAATCTTTGTGCAACTGAAATATAAACCATAAATAATATATGTACATACCACCAAAAAAATATTATCTTTTGTTCCGCAAAGCTGCCTTTTATTTCTTATAAATTTGGCATTGAAAAAATCGTTGGATCTGCAAATCTGAAGATTATCTGAAGGTATCTAATGAAATCCAAAGAGCAAACTAAATGCCTCTGCCTCTGTATTTTTTTTTGTTTTGGGATAACAGCTGCCTCACATGTAGAGGCATTGGAGGTGAGAAAGAACTAGTCTGATAACGATCATTAGCGGAGCTGTGAGAGATAGAGTTCAAGTCTTTCCGAAAGATTCCTTCCTTCCTTCCTTCCTTCCTGGCTTCGAGCAACTCAATCAACGTCAGCTGAGGGTATTGGGGGGCGGGGAAATGAATCGCAACTGTCAATAAATGGAGCAGTGGAGAGGGGACAGGACAGGACAGGACAGTAGTTCCCTAATCCCATCTGACATGAGCAATAAGTAATAAGTGGCTGAATAGTAGCCCCCGACCAGGACGGAGGGACCAGCGACCAGACCAGAGCAGAGCAGAGCAGATCAGGGGAGGATCAGAATGAGAATCTGAATCTGAATCAGAGTAAGATCGGGGGAAAGTAGTCGTCGCTATTTGTCAGAAGGCTCTGATTTCACGGCAGCCCAAGGCACAGGACTGAAGCAAGGACCACGTCGCGAAGGCAGGACAACGCCTGATCCTCGACGATTAATCAATGTGACGTGTGTGTGTGTGCACTCTCCCTCTCTGGTTTTGGGACATCTTGTGCTTGGGTTTTTTCGCGCCAAACGAATGTCTCTCTCGCTCTTGCCCTTGTTTCCTCTCTCTCTCTCACACTCCATTTCGGTGACAGCAATTTAATTTTATTTCGCTTTCAATTTGAATGTTGGATATCCCCACATTGGGTCTCCCTCAGACACTCAGTCACTCAGACACTCAGGCTCTCTCAGCTTGGGGTTGTGTGTGAGGGGGTTGTCGCCGGGTCAGAGGAGACGCCGGCCAGGGGTAGACCGCAAGATCAAACAATCCAATCGATTTGCATAGCCTGTAAAGTCGGAAAGGGTTGTCTTTGCGCCCGGTCCCTGCTGGTCCTTGGCTGCTGATCCCGATCCCGATCCCGATCAAGATACGGCTACAGATTCCGTTTGAGATTCCGATTGCGTATGTAAATGTTGTTTGCACGACAAACTTTATCTCGAGACAATGCCAAATGCAAACTAATAGATACATTTATAGCGATTTTGGGCGGGATTAGAAAGGGTCTCTCCGGGGTAATTAAACATCTTTACGGTCAGCCAAAAGGGCCAAAGGTGCAGGATGCTGCCGATGCTGCTGAATGCTGCTGAATGCTTTCTCTTTTTCTGTGTGTGTGTACACAAGGTAATGGAAAGGAGTACGAGTACAGTGAAAGGAGTGAGTCGTGTCGAGTGGAGTGGAGTGGCGGACCAAGACTTGAGCACTTAAGCCAATTTGAAGTGAACTTTTTGTTTATTTTATTTGTTGTCTTGTGGCTCAGATGTGGTCATGCCACTTCCTCCCATCGCATTTGACCCCATTTTGACCATAGATAGATCTATTTGTTTTACATTTGCATAGTCAATCCATTAACGACGAGATCCCATCTCCATCTCATCCTTCGGTTACATTTTTGAGCCTGTATTTTCCAAAAATGTCTTTATATATCCAGCAAATATGCAGAACACTCTAAACGTTGTTGTTTTCCATCAACAAAACTATAAAAAATGTATAACAAATATCTCAATCCTCGTACAAGAAGTAAATTATCCCGTTTGGGTTCTATGCATATTAATTATTAAAAAATCGTACCGTTGGCATTCTTTGCTCAATTTTATTTATTAGTAGCCTATTTAGCTAAGAATAGGTGGCACTAGAAAGTTCATGTCCATTCCACACAAAAAAAAAACTTTTTTTTAAATGCCAAAGTTGAAGAAATATTAAAAATGATAGAAAACTTCAACTTTGAGTCGCTATATCTTCAGATATATCCATTCTATTACCACGAATCAAAAATCCTGTAAATGGTACTACAATTTTCTTGTCAATCGATTACTTTTTGTGGATATCTGGACTGCGGGTTCTGAGTAAAAATTATGAAAATGCAAACTGTCATCGAATTGCGGTTTTCGAATTTTTAAAAAAGATTTTGGGAGTATATTGCAAATTCTAAGTATGAGGAAGTGATCTACTCATCACGGTCCACAACCTAAATTTTGTCTCGTGCCAAGTACATTCAAAAGTTTCTCATTTGTCGCACAGTGTTATTATAATCTTTTATTATAATCTATCAGAAATAAACCAAAGTTAATCATATTTTTCAATCCAAATGTAATCCATATCAGTGCACTAATTAGTCGTATATCTCTGAGGCAATTGCTTCAAATGATTCTAATGAATATCCTCCCTTCCGTTTCCTCCGCTGATAGCTCTCGACTGGCCTGGCTGTACACGCAATGTTTGCCCACAAAGATGGATCGTAAAAACGTGTAAAAAGTTTCGAAATAAGTACTTGTATGCCTAATGAATTGTTTCTCCCTTAAATGTTGGGTCGTAAAACCCCCCAAAAAAAAAACGAAAAATGCTTGGGGTTGGGCTGCAATCAATATACGATGCGTACGAGAGCAGTAAAAGTGCAGTAAAAGTGCCAGAACAATGGATGGGAGATGGGAGATGGTAGATGGTAGATGGTTAGATGATGGGATTTGGTATTTTTACGAGCGGCATGGAAATTTTTATGATCCATTCTCGCATCTCGCATCTCACTTCATCCATCTCACACATAAATCGCAAGAGACTTTATCAAATTGTCATTAAAATCGAGACAAACCTTCGGGGCGTGTGGCAATAAGAGAAAGGAAGGGAAACAATTGTGATTAGCCAGCGATCGGTTTGGTTTGGTTCTGTTTCTGCATCCTAACGGAGTCATAAAATTGCACCTTGGTCCGGTGGCAGCTGATGCGGGTCCCTCGTACCTCCCTCCCTCCCTCCATTCGCATTCGCTTTCGCACTCGCATTGGCATGCATATTCACAACATTCGAATTCCCATTCACATTGTATTGTCATTGTGCAGTCATCGGGACATGTGCGAAAAGTAATATCGAGGGAATCGG